GTTTAAGGCTTTGAGGTTTCAGGGTTTAGGACTTTAAGGTTTTAGGGCTTAGGACTTGAAAGTTTCAGGGTTGAGGGGTTTAAGGCTTTAGGGTTTAGGACGTTAAGGTTTTCGGGTTTAGGACTTTAAGGTAAAAGGGTTTGGGGGTTTACGATCCTGCATGACCTTGACTACCCCAAACCTGCGAAATTGTGGTACTACAGTATACGAAGATCATGCCATGCTTTTAATGTCAACAATATTGCCAGGAGAAGGCTTACATGTTGTGGGTGTACGTGTCTGGGTCGGCGTTCTTGTCGTGGGTTCAAGTAGTACCCGCCTCTATACTACCCCCCCCTAGGTTCCCCCCTTAATTAAGGATATTTGGGGATAGTTAACCCTAATTAAGGTTAATTAAGGGGGAACCTAAGGGGGGTGGTATAGAGGGGGGTACTAGTTGAACCCATGATGTTGGAGGTGGCGGTCACTCTGATTTTTCGTCGAAAGTTCTTAAGCCTGTTTATAGTGAGAGAATGCAAAACGAAAAGAGTTCTAAGGTGGCTTCAAAAAAGATATGTTCCTCGCATATTTGCTCTTTACTCATCTTTGTTTAAGTGATATTTGTCCTTACAAAGCCACTGTGAAAAAACAGTGTCAGTCTCATGTTCGATGTTATGTTCCATTTTGATTCTCTGTTTTTCCACTAAACCGTAGGCCTCAAACCCTAAACCCTAACCCATCTTACTTGCCACTTGACTCTCCGTTTCTCCCCTACCTGGGCAACCAAAGGTACTCCCAAAACATCCACTAGGGCCCTTACATGGCGAGTGGTTGTTCTGGGAATAACCATGCGTTTCGATTTGTTTGGTTCCTCAGGCAGACCGTAAGCCCTAAACCCATACAGCTTATTCACACCCAGTGGTGATGATGATCCCCGGCAACGACAGAGAACTGCTGGCTCAGGGTTCGAGGCTGGGGGGAGGCAAGGATGTTGCTAGACTGTTGTGCAGATTCCTGCGTCATTGGGATCGTTTACCAAGGTCTTGTGAAAAGGTTCAGACGAAGCGGAAGCAGTGTGGCACTCTAGCTGCCTCTAGATGGTTCGATTCCAGCTGAAGCTTCAAGTTTAGGCTTACCGTTATTACAGCCAGAGGCCACCAACGGCTTCTTCGACAATTGAGACGTCCCAACGCATGATCTATGGACAAGACCTTGCAACCCTGCATGACTACAAGCATGCTGCAGCACCGTGATTCCTAATGTTCCAGTATTGAGGGCCAATGAGGATTTTGCGCATGAACCGAAACTACTGTAGCATATCGGGGCTATATGGGGATAATGGAAAAATGGAACCTGCTATAGTCTTTTGGTTTTTTTTCGGATAACGGATTATAATGAATCTAAGTCTCTGCGTCAGTCCGCGCCGCTACCTCCATCAGGAAAGGTGCGCCGGAATCTGCAAAGTACGTCAGGAGGCGCAGGTCCATAGTAGCCCCAAGGTTGTCGGAATTGGAAACGAACATGTACTTGATCCTTGCCAGAACCCTATAGTAGAGGGATTGTATAGGATATTGCTATAGGGGAGTTTAGGAACCCCAACACTCCATATTAGGATGCCATGGTAGTCACATGATGGCTAAAGTTGGAGGCTCAAAGGTTAGGGTATATTGAGGTTCTATTGGGGTTTAGGGTGTATTGGGGTTATACAGCGGTCATATAGGGATAACGGAACATAAAATGGAAACTACTATTTAGGGTTTAGGGAGTAAGTTAATAACCCCTATAACCCATATAGTAACCTTAATTCTCCCCGTTATTAACCTACTTACTAAGTCCCTGACCCTCCAAGTAAACCCTCTAAATGTTCCTCTTAACATTATTTACGCCTTGCTCAGAAAGTTGCAACAGCGGATGGTGATGAACAGGAAACCTTCCTTCCCCTAAGGGTCCAAGGAGCCAAGTTTCAGGGTGTTAGGGCTTAGGGTTTAGGGTCCAAGGACCCAAATGATTGGGTCACAAATTTTAGGGCCCGAATACCATAAATGGTATAGTACTGGGGCCCTAAAGCCCTATCATTTGGGTCCTTGGGACCCTTATAGGATCCTAAAATGTTGGAGGTTGGGGTTACTATGTCGGGGCCTCTGGCACGGCATGCTACACTGCTTGATGATTAGAGTTTAGGGTTCGGGACTGCAGGTTAGCAGGTTATGCCAGGTGCCGAGGGTCTCTCAAAGCTGCGGGGGGCCGGGGACCATAGGGATATATGGGGATATGAGGAAAGGACGACATATAAAGCCACGGTTCCGGGGGGTATCATTGCCCCCTATTAGCAACCTCCTAAGAATGAATACTCCAAGCATGGAAGACTACTCTAACATGGGCACTTATAAGAGCATATGAACTATGAGTTAGATCATGAGTTCAAACAGGGTGAGGGATTACAGTGTCATGGTAAAGAATCATGAGGGATGAGCGGTGATTTTGCCGTGTTTTCACAAGGCCTTTGATGAAGGAATCTATGGCCTAACCACTGCGCATAGCCTACCCTAAGGGTCCAAGTACCCAGTAATCATATACTTACCCAAAACTTGTAGTATTACCTGATTATTGGGTACTTGGACCCTCTGGGCTAGAGAATCCCCTGATTTCCATGAGCTGCAGTCTGTTTTACATTGGGTACTGCCACCCCCCCAGTAACAGTCTATATTAGGGGTCCTATTAAGGGCTATATATAACCGTATTATACTTATTATCCAACTGTTACTGAGGAGGGCAGTACCCAAGTTTACATCTTAATGGAGACAAGTTGGTCCCTGTATGAGTCTTACAATAGTCAATAAACATCCACCGAACAGCCCGAAAGTGCTCCGTTGCTACCAAATACGTGGGTTGCTGGAACTTGAACTAAGCTACCATAACATGGTATGTATATATATATATATACACGGTACATGATGTAGTTTCCGTACTATAGCACCTGAATTTAACTTCCTCAACCGCAACCCTGATAACCAGGGCGGAGCCTCTTGCAGGACACCCAATACATAAAATGCCAATTGAAAGATTTTTCCGACGGATCTTCTGAAGCATGTTTAGCAACAACACTAAAATCTCTTCCCTGAAGCAAACGCCTAGACCTGAAACCCCTGAACCCTAAATACTAAACCCTATACCCTAAACCCCTAAACCAAAGACCCCAACCCCCCCGACAAGGTTGCTCCTGAATTCTCACACACACACAACCCAAAGAAAGAAAACACATCGACATTGTGAAGAGATTCCCCTTCGCCAGGAGCTTCTCCAACGTGCCAGACCCAAGCATGGCTGGATAAAGGTCGCCATGCCCCGGTGGGCCTCAACAGAAAGCCCTAAATCTTACATGAGCTATATATAATCTAAACTCCTTAACGGGGGTTATATAAGGATT